ATCGCTTTGTGGAGAGATTGCACTAAGCGGCAAGTAAAAAAGCGAGGGATCAATCAAAAAGGACACAACGACACGCAGTCCATCAGCAGTAGAATTCAGTAAATGTGGATGGAAATCTGTCACGGCAGTTGGGGAAACCATTCATTTCAAGTCCATGTAATACAATACACAAGTGAAAACCAGATGGTACCCAGTGTCATCGAGCTATTAGAAGCTGCCGCTTTGGTGGAGGTGAGATACACTTCAGATAGACAGAAAATATTTGTCCGCCTGCATTAATCGAACTGAACCTACCTTACAAAAGGTTGGGTTTCCTGGTCGACCAATAGTTCAACCATGACTGTGTTGAGATGGACCGTCAAATTGCTGTGCAAGTGTATGTCAGACTGATAGCATGGGCAATATGGAGATGGGTTACAAATCAGACACAAACGCAAAGCAGCTGACAACGAAGGAGGGGGTAAAACTGGTGTTATTTTAAGGCAAACAGGGAGGTGCTCTAATCACATCATGTTCTATCCATGTTATGGACCAAAAATACACTGGAGCCGATCGCGGACACAACGGAACAGAATGAAGTAGGTGCATCGTAGTTTGGGTCCAAAGTAATATACAACTGGCGTACGTATGTAATACTTTTAGAAAATGGCGATCAGTGAGATGCAATGGAGAAACTGTATTTGATGAAAACGTCTGACACTGCATGTTTTAAACGGCAGATTACAGCATAGCACTAACTTTCGTTTGGATAGTTTGGTGCTGCGAATCGAAACCGAAAAACCGCTAGGAAATATCGTTTCTCCAATGATTTGACGAATACTGTCCGGAATTAGGGGACCACAAGTTCACGTTCCTATAGTCGTAAGGGAATCTATACTGCTGTGGATTCTAACAAGCGCACGGTGCTCATGCTATGATTTCGAGATCGATGGAGACTAACAGACCTTCAACAGACGCCAGAAGGAGACATATGATGAAGAGAGGTCAGCGAGGCGTGTCAGATTGCTAGGTCTCCTACAGTTCAGAAGTAATTCAACGGTAGTCGGACTTGTCTAACCGTATTGGTTTGATAAGGAATACAAACAATTGGTACGACGGCGTCGCAAACTTTGGGATAGAGACATAATCTCGGGTTGTGATAAAGATTACACGGTGTACAAGAAACAGCGTAAGATATGTGAACGCAAAAAGCAAGAAACCCCGGCGATTCGAGGAGGAGCTAGCAGCCTCGGCTACAAACGCCCCCAGAGAATGTTTGCCTACTTGAAACGTCAACTGTAGCCTGCGGGCGACCTACCGGTCTTAGAGAGCTTAGACGGACAGTCGCTCATTTCAAGCGCGGAGCACGCGGACGCCTTGGCTACACACTTCCTCGCCATATTTCCAGTAAAACGGCGGTTGTTCTAGTACCGGCACAGGTTGCGCCAGTCTTGCTCGACAGCTTACAATGTGACGCAGACGAAGTGTATCGACTACTCGTCAACCTCGGTGGTACAAAGTCCCCCGGGACCAGACGAACTACACTTACTAATACATAATTCCCTACGGAATGCAATCTCACCAGCCGTGATAAAACTATTCAATGTCACACTTTGAAGGATCTGGAAATGTTCGATAGTGTGGCCGCTTCTCAAGGGTGGTGATCCGAGTAAAGTAGAGAACTACAGGCGGCTCTGTTTGATTTCAATATTGTCCATAGTTCTCGAGGTTGTGCAAAAGCGTCTGCTGTCGTTCGTTGGATCAATGGACGTACTGACCCATTCGCGACGCCGCTTCACGAATGGGCGATCCTGCATTACCAACTTAATGTACGCAAACCACTTGTGGATACGAGCTCTCAACGAACGGAAGGATGTTGACGTGGTGTACATCGCCTTTAGTAAGATGTTTGACAGAGTGAACCACGAGGTATTCCTTCGTAAGCCGAGGACATACGGAATCGGTGGCACGCTACTTCAGTGGTTACACTAGTTTATTGTGAGACGAAAGTCTAGACTGCAGGTCAATGACTACCTGACAGACTGGTGCCCATCGACAAGTGGCGTGCTTCAAGGAACTGTAATTGGGCCAATATTATTTCTTATTCAGATCAACGATCTCCCGCAGCAACTCCAGTCACCATATGCCCTGTTTGCAGAGGAGTTAAAAATCTAGGGTCATCGAGAACCAGCATGACATAGCTCGACTGCCAACGTGGTCCACTGAGATGCATCTCCCACTTATCGCGAGCAAGTCGTTCATAAGTATCACCAGACGTACAACCACACAAGCATACATTTTGGACAGGCAGTTTCTCCAACCCGATACAGCTGTCAGTGACTTAGGAGTGCTCTCATAACATGATATGATATTACTAGAAAATACAGAGAAATTGTACCGTGCGGGACTTCGTATGCTCTGGGCATTACGACGCAGTTTTTCCACATGGTCTGAAGAAATCGTCCCTCGCCTATTCACCTGGCTCATCAGGCCAATCCTTGAGTACGGCGCCCCAGTTTACAATCCGATAACCCAGTGAGAAAGGAAAAACGAGAAAATACAGCACGGCGCAATTAGAATGATTCCCAGTTTACGAAAGCTTCCGTATGAAATACGTTGTGAAAGGCTCGGACTCTACACACTATCACAACGCCAACTAAGAATTGACGTTAGTATGACGCATCGAGTAGCATACCTGAATCACTTCCCCATATTGTGGCCAATATTACACCTGCGGAAACCCAGTAAAATTAGAGGAGATCGTTATAAACTCAGGGTCCCATGCATGAACAGGGTATCACATCAGCTTTGTACAGAACGAACAATCGTAAACTTAGGGAATACACTACCAGAAGGAATAACAGAGGCTAATTCTATGAAATGTTTCAGAATACGTATCGACGATTATTACGGAAACCTGTGCTTTTGTGAAACGGTGCACATGGTTGGCAGCACCCAGTTTCGGATTTGCCTGTCCCCGTGGCCTCCATAGGGCAGTCACAAGACGGTGCACATAGAATGCAAAAATACATCCTATACCCGGAAACAATGACACCAATACGAACTCTTAACCGAACAAGTATAAAGGAGTAACTGACCAAACACTGCCGTTGACAATCCGCAATTAAATGCTTTTTGTTTTTCATAATTCAATAGAGTTGTACAGTAACTTTTCTACTTGCGCTTAAATACATCATCAGTCTCAGTTAATTGGCAAGTAGGAATTAGTGTTACACGGTCCTCTATGAGATTGGACAAGCAAATATATTCTTTACACCATTCAGATCCATTTGGTTCGAGCGTCGTTTGTAGCATTTGGGTGACCAGTCATCATACAGTCTGGAAAATTGCATCGTACAGAAGGGAGGTAACTATGCTCATTCAAGACTGATGGCTAATTAGTTCTCGAGTAAGAGTTTGCAGTACCCTTATTAAGTTCCTTATTGGATTCCAGCAGTAACCTGTGTTACAATCCAATCGCTTGGCTTTGATAAGTGGTATACGACCAGAACCAAACTTAAAACACCAAACAGCAGTCGATTGATTGATGAAAAGTGACGTCGTTATGAATGCCAATCCTACGTTTGTGACAACAGCAATGTATGTATGGCAGTGAAGATGTGCTGTACAATATCTCTGCCACCAATAAATAGGGATGGCGCCGGTTCCCACGTAGAGTCAATAATTTAAGCCTGCCTCACAAGACTACGCCCAATGTTCTGTCCATCTATCAAGCAGCGAAATTATGCGTCGCAGTTGGATAGTGATATGAAGAAGCGATCGCTCAGCTCCTTCAGGCTTCTGACAGACATACCTCCCACCACGCTGTACACCGTTTTCTGTCCTACAGAGTCATCCCAGAGTAACATTGGATCTGCTAGACTATTACCTCAAATTACTGTCTTTATTTAGCAATCGGTGATCTACGTCTTCTTGTTGAGAAATGTGGCTTTGGAAATGCTTCTCACTTACAATCCCTATGTTCTGCAAATGATTCAGATTTCCCGTTGTTGTTTTTTCCTTTCTCTCATTGATGTTGTTTGGCTAATGTTCATCCTCGGGATAGATGCGTTACTCAACGAAAACAAGGCAAACCGAATCCGTAAAGTAGGTGCTTTTCAGTTTTAAAGAATTCTGTTAAATTTTATGAAGATTAAAAGCAAATTTCCAGTTGTACGTGGGCATATATCGCTTGTTCGACACTATTTTAGTCAAAAGGTGTGCCCTCTCTAATATCAGCTCATCTTTCGTGAATTATTCGTCTCCCCGTAAAAGGTATCTCTAAAGCTTTCTATATTGTTTAACAAAATTTGAACACGAAACGTTTGTTCGCTCTAACCACTGTCATATTCAGATAGTCGCTTTGTGGTGGAGGCTGTCGAAAATAAGTACCTCGGTTTAAACTAAGGAGGAACAGTTTAAAATAATCAGTGGAGACGTGTAAGTCATTTCCGCGATTTGACATCTGCCTCGCCTTGAAGTACTTCGTCGTAAACTAACAAGTGTCTTGAGCTTGTGAATGGTATAACAACGATAATGAATTCAGGTTGAGCTTCATGAGCCATACATTTATACAATGAATAAGCCTCAACTGCAAGCCTCAGCAAGCCACAGCAATTTATGAAAAATGCAACATTTATGCTATAATCACCAGATAGCTAGTTATTGAAGAAATCAACTGCCATTTAGCTTGACGACCGAAGAAAAACGCTTCAGTACATTTGCAGAGTGAAGCGGAGTTATCGAATGCTAGCGCAATATAGGAGACAAGTATAGAAAATGGAAACTGCTAACTGGAACCCGCTTTATACGGAAAGCAGTGGAAACAGCAAGGTGTTGGGATTAAAAGAAACGAAACCGAAAGAAGAACTGCGCGCAGAACAGCGGCAGCTTTGAAGAAAAGTCATCATCCACCTGATAAGATTAGCAGTCTTAGGTCGAAGCAACCCCATTACCATGATAGGATAAGAGCGAGCAATGGGTTGCTTATCACGCAAAAAGCAAGTAGACAAAAAACTAACCTTTCATGATAAATGTATTGGAAAACAATCCCCGAAATGGCTGCTAGCCAAACGAAACACAAGGTGAACCAACCCCATGCGGCATTAAAGTCACGAAGAACAAGCCTGCGTGAATGGATGGAGTAGTAAATTGGGTGAGATAAAGGAGGCTGTGTTAGTGAATCAGGAAAAATGCACACATAAACCACAGATTAGCTACCTTAGTTAAGGGTAATATAAGGAAGCACCAAGGGATCTGGATCAGAGGCGGTTCCTGTAAATGGACCCAGGTAAAATATGGCAGGGCACAGGATAAAAGCTTGTTAGAGTACATGAAAGGAATGATAAAATTTGCAAGTGTGCGGTTCAAACAAAGTGATTGCCCGAATCACCTTACCATTGCTCTACATACTAAGTGTTGAAGAGCGTTTTGCTGATCGATTAGTCACTCCATATTGAAATGACTCGTATTCGTCAACAGGAGACACAACGCGAGTAATTGGTGTGTTAATTCATCGTCTTCAAAATATCGGGATAGCAGTGCTTATAGCAGCCTTCTTGTGAGCAATCTGGAGAATCGGTGGAAAACAGAGGTGCACTCACGAACCGCCACAGCTATTTTTAACGTAACAAAAGGTTACTCCGCTATTCCAATGCACAGCTTCTATAGCCCTAAAAATTACTGAGTTTACCCAGGTTGAAACGACTTCCGCGTGTAAGTCCTAACGTCAGCATACAGCTAAAAGTGTAGGTACAACAGCGGTCGCACTGTGGTCAATGGTTAAGGGACAGTGACATTGGCCTCGCGAATTGTATGCAGCCCGAACAGCGAGGCATAACTGTAAACTCTCGCGCTATATCTGGTAGTTAGGCGGAGGTGGCTTCGGACATAAGGCGAAGCAAATTGAGTAGTTTCAAACTGTGGAACATTCTCAGCGGTTCGTGAAATACACCAGTCCAAGCCAAACAATTGTTTCAATTATTTCAGTACAAATCATATGGGGTTAAAATACAGAAAGTATGGACAGCGCTCACTCCAGAAGTTTGTTCTGAATTAAGTGAGTCAATGGTTAGACAGCAAATATTCTGCCGTTATCTCATTCGCATAGATCGACTGAAAGCAATGTAATCCCAATACCTTAACTCATGTCAGAATGGCTGTTCGACCAGGGCAGATAGAGAGAGTGAACAAACGGTTTTACGAACACAGCAAGGATTAGAATAATCAGATCGCAAAAGCCTCTGCAGTGGCGAGCATTCGAAACTGCAAACCTTTCGATTTGCTCATGGGAATCTGATGATCCACAGTAAACACATTCCGTAGGTCAATCTGGTGGCCTGCTTCGAACACATGGGACAGAATACTGCTGGTGCGAAGTCCGGTGCCCCCATTCATCAACCATGTATGGATATGTTCCTTAACACGACGTGACAAAGTTGACGAGCACTTCGAACAATGTATGTTGCACCGCAGGCGCACTCGTATCGATTGATCAGGTAAGAAGATGTCAACTTCAGCACGGTCTTTGTTGCATACGGGAATTAGCTGGTTTGTGGCAAATTCACATCGTAATCCTGCAACCGTAGTCCAATTGTACTCGATTAGGGTTACTAAATCTTTAGGAATGATCGGGTCAAGTTGATTTGCCTGATCTCTTCGATATCGGTGACAACAAGGAGAAGTTGACAAATTCAAGAGTATCAGTTGATAACGCGGCTAAATCCAGCGTCTGTCCAACAAGTTTACCAAAGCTACAATTACTTTCGGTTTCCTTATGATTGTATGAATACTCATGAATATCCAACCGCAATTTGGAAACACCCTCGCCGTGATAGCTTTACATTCGAAGGGCACATTAAAGATGGAAAACTAAAAGAAAAGAAAAGGTGGTCACTTGATGTAGCTTATTTGTTCACAAATGTATCGTTGCTAGAAACGATATTATATTCATGAAACTAAGTGCAGGAGAACGGTATTCGCTTTACTGTATCATTACCAAGTCTGAAGGAATTGCCTGGGATGTGTACACAATGGTCAGTTTTTATTCCACTGCATATATTACCGGCAGGATGATGGAGTCGCAATGGGGTCCCCACTCGAACTGGTGCTGATGGATTTTGTCTTGCTAAACTAGAAAATGGATAATGTATGTGGGAGCAATACATTTAATACTGTACAACTTCAATGCAATAAAGGCAAAAATGTTATGAAAAATATCTGCCACTCGTGGAAATCCAGTTGTTCTTCAAGTTCCTATGCAGCATTTTAAAATGTCTGACTAACAGTTTCACTGGGATCACAAATGCAAGATGTCATTATTAGTGCGCAAATCGTTCTCTGAATCCAATGGTGGTGTAATACAAATCAAACAACGTTTTGAATTGTTGCACAGATTTGGCCCCCACAACTAGTTCTGGCAGACTGCCCCACTTGCCGTTCGAAGCACTGGAGTGGGGTAATGATTTTACATAAGACGCCACAAGTTTATACCGGTGTCCGCATATGTTGCATGGCGTTCGCAAGTGAAACAACGGCATCAACATGGGGATGTCACCCAGAAGTAACATACGGTAGGTCACGATGAGATCGACTCGCATCCGAGGATAAGACAAGTTTTAGAGTCCTACTTTCTCGCACCGGTCTTCGTATGGTAATCCTCGTAAAATCGGAATGAGCATGGCAGTGACTTGTTGGACTCATCCGATCTTCCGCGCTTCGTCTCGGGTGACTGAACAGTAGGCAGGTGAGCCGTCCTACAGTACTGGTCTTATGATGTAAGTGAAGAGGCGAGTATCGACCTCTTCAGACCAAGTTTAGAAGCTAATAGAGAGGTAAGCGGAGCCAATGTCCAGATACGAGGTCGCGCACAGGCTTACCGCGGAGCACGTGAGCTGCCTGCTGCATGCGAAGGTCACCAGCACGAGCGTGGAACGACCTTCGACTGTTTTGCCGAAGTTGGGAATCGGGTGCAAACTGATTGGCCAGTAAATACAAGCCCGAGTTAATGGAGGCGAACCGTTCTGCCAAATATGGGAAATCCGTGGGACGGAATTAACTCACATTGGCTGAGAGCCAAACGCTTCCAAAATTAGTATGTTTCGTTCACCAATAAATAGAACTGGCCTATCGTGTAGAATAGACTCCCTGTTTACCGAGCGTTGACGTTCTGTATCCCGTCGGTTGGTTGGGCGCGTGACTGAGCAATCCGGCGGTCGTAGTCTCGCAGGCGCAGAATAGCAGCAGTGCAGCAGTACGAAGGCAGCTTTACAACAGTAGCTGTGTTTGATCGCCGAAAACATGTGTAGTCCGTTACGTTATGGTCTGTTCGTGTTGTCAACGAACTATAAATCGCAGGACGAGAGTACACCTGGATCACTAACGATAGGGGTGGGGTATAGCGGCTGACCGCCACAGGTCTAAATACGGCTGTCAGCACTTTTCCCCAGGCTCATGGATACCGATTTGATTACGTTGACCGGGAGGCGGACTTCTGAAGACCACATGCAGGGGCGGTCGAGGTCTCACTGAAAAAGACGGCGGTCGTCTCGGATGCTAATTATACTCCAACTCCTCAACATGGATAGCGAAGAAACTAACGGTAAATCGTTAATGTGGAAAAGGAACAGAGGGGGCCCAGCACCATGTCTTGAGTTCAGTTAGATCGTATCGATCGATACTAGCGCGATATGGACCGCATCTTGTGCGTGAGAGAGTTTAATAGTGTGCACCCGGTTTGCAAGTTCACATAAGAAGTTGAACAGGAGGGCGAACTCTCATTTCTGAGTGTACAACTGTGTAGGCAATCTGAGAGTTCCTAGTGATGAAGATTAACATAAAGCATGTGTGAACCGGACAGTATGCAAACTGCAGTAGTGCTGTACCGCTTAACTACAAGGTCAACCTAATACACTGTGTCACGTCAAAAAGCTAAAAAAATATATGCCCATAGGACGCCCTAGAATATTGGATGGGATCCTCATAGAACCCTTTGCGTGAAAACACTTATGCAGAAAGATAGATTCAGTGCAACATGCAGCCGAAAATAACATCGAACGTTGAGAAAGCAGTCGAAAAAAAGCTTCCTTCATTTGCCGAAGTTTAAAAGGTGATGTATTCGCTGAGCCTGTAACAAGAAAATTGACATAATTGATAAGTGACACTCGCGGCAGCGGAGTTAGCAAGGACTTTTTCCACAAATCAGCCAATTCATGCGTGCAACACGGAGTGGCGAAAATGACCTCTTCTTAACTGATCAATCGATGAGAGTACACCCGCGGTGTAAGATATATTGATCGAAGAGCTCGTCAACTCTGTCAGCAGCCCTTAAGGAACATAGCCGTAAATGGTTGGTGAATGGGGGCACCGGATTTCGCACAAGCAGTATTTTGTCCCACCTGTTCGAAGCAAGCCACCGGATTGACCCACCGAATGCGTTTACTGTAGATTTTCAGCATCCCATGAGCAAATCGAAAGGCTTGCAGTTTCGAATGCTCGCCACTGCAGAGGCTGTTGCGATCCGAATATTCCAATCCTTGCTGCTCTAGTCGAACAGACATAAACCTAGCCGTCAATACGACATGGGTTAAGGTATTGTGATTATGTAAACTTCAATCTTCGGGTTTCAGTTGCGCAATAGCACCATAAGTGAATCGAATGCCTTCAGCTGGTGACGAGTCGTCGTTAGGTGCTTAGTGATAGACGAGGCAGAGTTCCGGTTGATTCTGTGGTCCACTCCGCCTTGGTGAGACAACCTTAGCCATAATGGGAAGTGTTCAGCCACCCCTTGAGCCAGCCGGCGGCTAGTCCTTCCGATGTAAGTGTCAGCACAACTGCAAGTGAACTGGTATATCATGCTAAAGGACGAACTGATTGGCGAACTACTCGAACGGCTGTGTAGCGGAATCCTTCGTGAAGACGAGTATGTAGTCTATATAGGGCTTGGAAAGCCTTGCTTCACATATGCAGACAGCAGCTTTACTTGCGATCACGCCCAAGAAGATATCTGCCAGAACTGGTCCAGGGGATCCTATGTAGACGACATTCTCGTCTTCATAAATGTTGAACATTTCAAGCGTCTTTTTGCCCACCTAAACTCAATTCACCCCAACTTTTCTGTATTACATGA